TAGAGTAGACAGAAAGCATGAGCTGTGAAGAAAGATCACCCAAATGTTGCATTTTGAAAATTTGCTCTGCGTTATGGGCATCTATTTCCCAAATTAGAGTGAGGGTTAATGTCCAGAGTATGGTTAGGGTTTGAAAAACCAGGGTAGTCAGGAAGCTCGTGATGCCTGGAAAGGGTGGACAGTGGACTGAACACATGAGCTCTGAAGAAAAATGACCTGAAATGTGGCACTTTGAAAATCCATGTCGAGACTTGGGCATCTCATTTCTAATTTAGGTTAAGGTTAATGATCACAGTAGGGCTCAGCTTTGAAAAAGGAGGTAAACCACAAAGTTCTAGAAGCTAGCTTAGAGTGGACAGAGAGTACATTGTGGACAATAGGCTAAGTATGAGCCAACAATGGGATGCAGTAAACAAAAGGGGAAATGCTATTTTGGGATGCTTTAACAGGAGTATTACTTCCAAGTCAAAAGAAATGGTAGTTACCCAATTCTCTTTACTAGTCAGACCTCAACTGGAATACTGTGTCCAGTTCTGGGCACCAAGATTTAAGAAAGATGCACAAAAATTAGAAAGGGTCCAGAGGAGGCCACGAAAATGATGGAGAGTTGGAAATACTGCCCTATGAGGAGAGACTTGAGGAACTGGGCATGTTCAGCCTTGAGAAGAGAGGACTGCAGGGGGACATGGTATCACTCTATAAGTACCTCAAAGGCCATCACAAAGAGGTGTTAGAGGTCAAGCTATCTCCTTGCTGATGCCAGAGTGTAGGATACGAAATAATCCATTCAACACGCAACAGCCTGGATTCAGGTTAGACATCAGGAAAAGCTTCCTCATGGTCAGAGCAATTCAATAGCAGAACCAGCTGCCTAGACAGGTGGCAAGCTCTCCCACAATAACGATATTCAAAAAGAAGCTGGACAGTCAGCTGCGAGGGATGGTGTAACTTGGTGTCCTGCAACAGCAGGGGTTCAGACACAATGGCCTTCATGGCCCCTTCCAACTCTACTATTCCGTGATTCTATGATTCTATGAACCTTTTCCTGATGGAAATAGGCAATGATTCTATGAACCTGTTTCTGACCAGTCTGTCCTACCTCTTGAAATTTATTGTACACGGTTGCTCTAGAGATCTCATCAAATACATTCTTATAAAAATGTGAGTATACTTTTTTCATAGATCCTCCAAAGCTGTTATGTAAAAGTCCCTTGTCCACCTCCCTTAAATTCCCTCTCTCATACTGGAAATGTAGGAAGAAGGAATTTTTTCGCACACTTAGGACACCTAGGATATGAAATGAGCCTTTCGAAGAGGTGGTTGAGGTCATATCAGTAAGGGCACTCAAGGAAAGATTGGACACCCACATGTTGGGTAGAACCAGCTGGTACCTGGAGTCAGACTAGATGGCTTGGAGGGACCCTTCTGACTTGCTATGTTTCTAATGTACTTTGATTGTCTTTCTTAATTAAGACCAGAGAGCAAAGAGGAGAGAGGGAGCTCATCTTGATGGGAGCCATACACAAAGAAAGTCACATGTATCTGGTGGCAGGGATGAGAAGCAGCAATCGTACCTGCTGGAAGCTGCTGGAAGCTGCCTACCCCTGAAGGTCACTCAGAAGTAAGCTAGGAATGTAGGAAACACAACACAGGAAGGAGGGGAGGAGGAAGGAAACTCAACTGGATGGAAGCAGCTTTCAGGCCTGCCCCATCCCCCTGGAAGAAGGGAGGGTAGCCAGCCGCTGCAGCTCACATGAAGGATCAAACAAGGCAGGGGACTGTAAAGTCAGTCCTATTAACCAGGCTGCAAAAGGTTTGGGAGAAACCTGCACCCCATAGTTTAGAGCAAACCAGTCTTGTGCAAGAGGAATGGGCTCTTTTCCCCCAACTGGATAGAGCAGCTTTGAAAACTAACCTGGGGGAAAGCTGAAGGGAACTGGGAAGCATGGAGATGAGAATGTTCCTGGTTTCTATAATACCATAATTAGGCCAGTCCTAAAGAAGGCATCCTTGCATCCAGAGGTGGCCGCCAATTATAGACCGATGGCCAACATCCCGTTCTTGGGCAAGGTGCTAGAGTGGGTGGTGGCGGGACAACTCCAAGCACTCTTGGATGAAACTGATTATCTGGACCCATTTCAGTCCGGCTTCAGAGCCGGGTACGGCACTGAATCTGCCTTGGTCGCCCTGTATGATGACCTGTGCAGGGAGAGAGACGGGGGAGTGCATCCCTGTTGGTCCTCCTGGACCTCTCAGTGGCTTTGGATACCATCGACCATGGTATTCTTCTGCATAGGCTAGCGGGATTAGGAGTTGGAGGCACCGCATGGCAGTGGTTCTGCTCCTATTTCAACGACCAATTCCAGAAGGTGGTGCTGGGGGACTATGGCTCTGTGCCATGGCAGCTATTCCATGGAGTTCCACAGGGGTCCATTTTGTCCCCTTTGCTATTTAACATCTACATGAAACCGCTGGGAAAGGTCATCCGGAGGTGTGGGCTGAGGAATCATCAGTACGCTGATGATACCCAGCTCTACCTCTCATTCTCCACCAATCCAGGTGAGGCAGTGGCTGTGCTGAACCGGTGCCTGGCCAAGGTAATGGGCTGGATGAGGGCCAATAAAATGAAGCTCAATCCAGACAAGACGGAAGTCCTGTTGGGGGGTGGCTCGAGCCTCGGCATGGGGGACATGCTCCTTGTCCTGAATGGGGTTGCACTCCCTCTGAGGGACAGGGTTCACAGCTTAGGAGTGCTCCTCGACCCTGAGCTGTCTCTAGAAGCTCAGGTGACGGCGGTGGTGACGAGCACCTTCCTTCAGCTTCGGCTGATACTTCAGCTGCGTCCCTTCCTGGAAAACGACTGCTTGGCGACAGTGACACACGCATTGGTGACTTCCCGATTAGATTTCTGTAATGCGCTCTACGTGGGGCTACCCTTGAGGATGGTCTGGATATTTCAGTTGGTGCAGAATAGAGCTGCCAGGTTGCTGACGGGGACTGGGCATTATGTTCTCATATAACCCCAGTTCTCCGTCAGCTCCACTGGCTCCCGATTGAAGTCCGGGCCCAATTCAAGGTGTTGGTTATGACCTATAAAGCCCTAAACAGCTTGGGACCTGGTTATCTAAAGGAATGCTTGCGTCCATATATGCCCTCCCACCCCTTTGAGATCAGCAACAGATGCCCTTCTCTGGGAACTCTCTGTGAATGATGTTAGGAGGGTGAGTATCTGGAGGAGGGCTTTCTCTGCAGTGGCGCCCCATCTATGGAATGCACTCCCCAGAGAGGTCAGGCTGGTACTGTCTTATTTGTTTGTCAGCGCCAGGCTAAGACATTTTTATTTAAAACTTATTTTAATTGTTAAAATATTTGTATTTATAGGATTTTAAATTTTTAGCCGAGATGCACCGGGGGTTTTTAAATACATTTTTTTTATTGTTATATTGTTATTTATTTATATATTTTGTTTCTGTTGTGAGCTGCCCCGAGGCTTCGTTGTGATGGGGATGGCATAAAAATGCTTTAAATAAATAAATAAATAATACAAACACTAAAGAGCTATTCCACCAGCATGTGGAGTAACACGAGAGCAAAAGTGTTCTCCAGGGCCTAACACATCTGAAGCCCCCATCCCTTCCCCACCATCTCATCCATGCATTGAAATCCAGTGCTCTTGAGTTGGGCCAGCATGTGCCAAGGCATGTACACCAGTGAAAACCACCTTGGTGATCCTGGATGCCAACCTTCTACATAGCAAGCTAAATGATGCTTCCGAGACCCAGAGAAAAACTTTCTCCACATCAGTGGAACCTACAGGGACCAGAAGCCTTCACTCCACCCCTGCTGACCAAAAGCGCTGACTTGCTTCCAAGAGCTCATCATTACATTTCTCCACATCCTTGGTTTCAACATGGACTAAAATCTCCTACTCTAACCCAGTGCCATCCACTAAACTATCTATTTGTGGCACAATTTATACAAGCATCACAACAGGCAAGAGAGTCCCTCAATCCTGGTTAATTTGAAGAAGCAGCATCCATGAGTCCTCAAAAACACTTTTTCTCCAGTGCTGTGCTTCTACCTCTTTCCTTCCTTCCTTCTTTCCTTCCTTCCAGCATTTTTAATTTGTCCTGTACAAAAAAAAAAATAAGTCGCAGGACAGGTTACAATAATTAAAACAATAAAAATTACAATGATAATAATTGTACTAAAACAGTAATAATTCCAATAATCAAGACAATAAATATATAACATTCATTACACCAACAAAACCAAAGAAAAATGCAACTGTTAATATTTAAACCATTTAAAAACCTTTAATGCTTAAAACATGGGGAAAATAAAAAGGGTTTTACCTGGCAATAAGAAGAATATAGAGTTGCCCGAGGCAAACATCTTTCGAGAGCAAATTCCACAATCGGGGCACCGCCACGGAGAAGAACCTCCTCTGGGTAGACACACTCTTGACCTCATTCAGGGAGGGTTCCTGGAGCAGGGCCACTCCTGCCGATCTTAAGGGGCATGAGGGCATATAAGGAAGGAGATGTTCCTTCAGGTATCCTGGTCCCGAGACTTTTAGGACTTTATAGGTAAGCACTGGCACCTTAAATTGGGCCTGGACATAGAGCAATTTGGAGAGTTTGGGAAGTAGCAGAGGCGTCCCACCTTCGTGACCATACACTTTTGGAAATCACAATGCTTTACTGGTATTCCTGCTAAAACTCTTGGGATCCCCTCCCTGAAAATACCATCCTTGAGTTCAGCATTGTAAACATGGGATTGTGGAGCCCCAGGAGGTGCTGCCTTGTGTCCAAGCATGAAGCAAAAGGCACATAAACACCTCTCCTTCCACTCATTGCTAGGGAGAAGCTTCAGGACAGGTGGTGAGGCCTTGGTGCAGCATTAGGGTCTGGACAGCAAGTGAAGCCTGACTCTGTAATGGGCTTTGGCTGCTGCCGCTGCTTCTCATCATTCCTCAGTGGAGAAGAGAGAAGGGGGCCATGCCTGGAAAAACCAGAATGCTGCTGCTGCTGCTGCTGCTGCTCCCAAAGGCCTCCTGTGGGATGCTGAAGGCCCGATGCCCCTGGAGCTGGCACAGGGATGAGGTTCACCCCCAGAATTACTTCAGGCCTGGAGACTACATCATTGCGGCAGCCATCTTTGCAAAACCTGTCAAGTTTCTTCCACACACGTTCAGGAAGCCTGCCTCTAATGAACCCAGAAAGTAAGTACCTGAGATGGTTCACCCAATGAGACAAAGTGCATGGACAGCCAGGTAGGGGGTTCTTTAGTCACACAAAGGCAGAATTTGTGAGGAACTAGCCAGCATGAAGAATATGTGGTCAGCAGTGCAGAGGTCTCCTGACTCTCCATTGCCATTGTTCTTCTGGCTTTGCCTTGGGCTCAGTGTCAGGATGTAGGAAGCCATAGAAGAATGTCAACAAAAAATATGCAGGCATGCAAGCATGAGACCTCCCAGGGCAACATGTGGAGAAATTTTAAATTTGTTGCAAATCGGATACTAACATGACATATCTGCCTTTTCCCCAGTTTAGGACTCCCAGATTACTGGAAGGTCCTTTCCTTCTTGTTTGCCATTCAGGAGATCAACCAGAATCCCAGGCTCCTGCCCAACATCACCCTGGGATATAGCATCTATGACAGCTATAAAGATGCCAGACTGACTTCTGATGCAGCCATAGACCTGCTTTCAACCAGTCAGGCGCATGTTCCCAACTACAAGTGTGGCAGCAAACAGCAACTGTTGGCTGTCCTTGAAGCATCAGACTCTGAAAACACCAAGCTAATTTCAAATCTGTTGGGCACCTACAAAGTTGGACAGGTGTGCGGAAAAATTCAGCTGCAATTGACCTTTAATGGCATTTTGGCTAGGAAAAATGATTTTTTCTCCATAGAATCCCAGTAGGTATTATGCATGCCATGAAGAAAGTTTGTCCAGATCTACAGCTGCCAGGGAAAGCTGAAGAAAGAAGAAGCAAATGATGGCCACATAAGAGTTGGATGGAGTGAATAAAGAAAGTCACAGCCTTAAGCTTGGATGTGCAGAGCAAGGCTGTCCTGGACAGCACATTTGGAAGGGCTTTCATTCAAAGGGTTTCTAGAATTCAGAGATGACATGATGGCACAGAATGACAATGTACCGAGAGCATTATTTTTGGTTAAAGCTCCTGTCATACCACACACAAATATCCTGTTCTACATCAGTAGGACCATGTTGGCTATTTCGAAGGAAAATTCCTATCTGATTGGCAGATCATGCCATCAGCATCAGGTCCTTCAATGTACACAGAGCTCAGAGAGTTAAGGACCACTTGGGGACACCAGGAGGGAAAACAGGCCAGCAATTTTCGGGAGCCAATGCAGAATAGCGGTTAAGAGCATGAGCCTGGGATCCAGGGGTCCACTTTTCTAGTCTCAGCTTGGTCACAGAGCCCACTGGATGATCTCTGACTTTCTTCCCCAGGTCTCTTATGCTTTCAATTCTCCGGTCCTGAGTGACCAAACAAAGTTCCCCTTTCTCTACCAGATGCTCCCCAAAGAAGGGGTCCAGTACGTGGGGATTGTCAAACTCCTCCTGCATTTCAGATGGATGATGGTTGGGCTCTTTGCTTCAGACACTGATAATGGAAATACATTCATAAGAACCTTGACACCTGAACTCCTCCAGAATGGCATTTGTGTGTCCTTTTCTTATACTTTCTCAGAAATTAAAATGAAATCTTTAGGGGTCCATCAATTTTCATTTGAGAAATTGGAAAAATCCATGTTTTTGTTTATTGTACAGAGACAAGTTTTTTGTTCTATGGAATATCTGTTGTGCAGGGATTTTTGGCAAAAGTAAAACACATGATAGGAAAAGTCTGGATCACCACAGCAATGTGGGATTTTACCCTGGATTTTCAGCATACTGATCTAGATTTCCCAAACATGATTGGTTTCTTTTCCTTCATTCTTAAGAAAAATAAAAGGACATACTATGAGGATATTGTACCCCTTTACCTTGCTATGAGGGCATTTGTGAGGAACTCATTTGATTGTTCCTATGCAAATCATGTGGTGTCAGTGGAACAGTGGAAAAGATGCAGAGAGAACAGGAAAGGGGAGGCCCTGTTCATACACGACAAGCAGAAAATTCTTTCTCTGGACAGCTACTTCTCCTACAACACAATCCAGGCTGTGGCCCAGGCCTTGGATGTGGCTTTTTCCTCCAGATTCCAGAAGATGAGGGTTAAGGATGGACACAGGTCGGATGAGAGGAGCCTTCAGTCATGGCAGGTATTTGCTTTTGCATCACACACCTTACTGATGGACATAAACATTAATTGCACAAGTTCATTGTCCATGAAGAACTGAAACGAGATATTACATAATCACAAGGGTATTCTAGTCCTCTAGCCCATTGTCTGTGCAGATCTCTGTTTCTGTCAATTTCTGGATTCAGAGGTTGCAGTCCATCAGGAAGGCCACCCCACAAATGATTCAAGACATATTGCGCAGCACCATACTGGCATGGTGAGGAGTCCTCAAGGCCTTTGCTCACATTCATCCACTCAATTAGTTCATTTGGCTTGACAACTTTGGACTACTAGAAAAGTTGTGTGTGGCTGATGCTTGAATTGTGGCATGCTGTTGCAATGCAGGTTATTATGCCATATGAAACTAAGTGAAATATCATATCATGGTGAAGATACCAAACAATATATGCATGAGTTATCTCAGCCGGGTCCTGACCACATGATGATCCATGATTATCCATGTTTCAGCAATAGTCCACATTCAAGGGCAATCAACATATATTCAGCCTATGGCTGTGCATTATCAAATCTTTTGACTTTGCTTGTAGTGCACGATGCGTAACTAGTTGTCCAGGTGGGCCCAGGAGCTGTTCCCATGCTTATATTAGAACTATTCCCTGCCCAAATTGCACTTCTCCCATTGCCTAAATCTTGTTTCTTATTGAACTTATCTTTGGTATTCAGTAGTCAACACTTCTGTGCTGAAAACTGTGCTTTAATTGGCCTCACATTCCCTGAGGGCCAACGTTCCAGAATAGGCTTGCATAAGTGGAGCAGAAGCTCCAGAATGAGACCAAGAGTGTTCAGGGATGAAATCAGGGAGCTTATGCAGTTGAAAAGAAAAACAAGACACTTCAATCTGTAACATGCCTTGAGCAACCAGGGAAATGAGAATCCAGCATGGTTTCATCTTTCCTCAGTGCTGGCGCTTTCTCTCCCATTCCAGCTGCACCCCTTCCTCAGAAGCTCCCAGTTTCACAATCATTCCATGGATGGAGTTCATTTGGATGAGAAGGGGGACCTGGCAGCTAACTTGGACATTGTCAACTGGGTGAAGTTTCCCAACAGCTCTGTTGAAAGAGTGAAAGTGGGGAGCATAGAAAGGCAGGGGTGGTCTGGACGCAAATGCACCATTGACCAAGATGCCATTGTGTGGCCCAAATGGCTCAACCAGGTGAAGCAAACCAGGCCTTCCTCCCCCTCCATGTTCTATCAAATGCATGGGTTTGAGAATGTATGTTCACTGCACTTATTGGTATGGGCTAAGGTTTATTAGAGGCGATGATGTGTGAAAGAGCCTACTGGGAGAGGGCATCCCTCAGACTTCTCCGACTCAGCCTCTCAGACCCCAGCCCACTTTCTCTCTGCCCTTTATCAGCCTTACACTTAGTATTTGTGTGGGTATCTGGGAGGAAGAACGTCCAAGAGAATCCATCAGGTCAGCCACATCTTCTGCACACATGACTTTTGGTGTTCACTTCTTTGCATACTATCCAAGCATACGAACAAACTCTACTGGGCACAAGAGGACATGATGCCTAACCAATCTTAGAAACATAGAAATATAGGAAAAGAGCGAGTCAGAAGGGGCATCCTGGACCATCCTGCCTGACTTCTGGATCCAGCTTGCTCCGCTCATGACATGCCCACCATGTTCATGTCCAGGCTATCTTTGAACAACCTCACAGACAGGGCCTCAGCCACCTGCCGTGGAAGCTTCTTCCATACCCTCGGGGTCCTAACTGTCAGGAAGTGCTTCCTGGCATCTAAATGGAACCTTGATTCTCTGAGTTTGCTCCGTTGGAGCGTGTCCTGCCTTCCTCTGCAGGGGAGAACAGATCTCCAGCCATCTCATTGTGACATCCCCTTACATACCTATATGTTGCCAACATATCCCCTCTGAGCCTCCTCTTATCCAGGCTGAATAGAACCAGTTCCCTCAGCCTCACCTCATACTGCATCCCCTGCAAACCGGCACCAACCTTGTGGTCCTACAATGCCCTGACTCTTACCTGGCTATATCCTGAATGTAATGAGGGGCCCAAAACTGAGCACAATACTCCAGTTGTGGGCTCACCAGAGTCGTATAGAAGGGTAGTAATACCTCTCTTGATCTTTAAGCCACTCTTCTGGCTATGCAACCAAGGGTGGCTTTCGCCCTCTTGACCACTGCATCACACTGCTGACTCATGTTCAGGCTGCAGTCAACCAGTACCCCAAGGTCCCTTAGGTGACAGTGCTCTCCAGCCACTTGTCACCTAACCTGTACTTATGACACCCATTCCTATGCCCCAAGTGCAAGACCCTGCACTTATCCACATTGAACGCCATCCTGTGGTCTCCTGCCCACTTCCATAGTCTGTCCAGATCTTTTTGGATCTGGAGTACCTGCTCCTCCGTTGTGGCCACTGCCCTAGTTTTAGTGTCGTCTGCGAATTTGATCAGCAGACTGTTCACCCCTTCTTCCATGTCATTGATGAAAAGATTAAACGGGATTGGCCCCAGGACAGAGCCCTGGGGGACCCCACTTGTCACTGGCCATCATCCCAATGATTCCCCACCAATGGTTACCCTCTGCTTTCAGTCAGTCAACCATGCCCTAATCCATTGGACAGTGCTTTGGTGTATCTCAAAACTCCTCCGTTTCTCAACCAGGATTGAATGGGGAACTTTGTCAAAGGCCTTGTTGAAAACCATGTAAGCCATATCCACTGCATCCCCTTCATCCAGCCATCTCAAAACCTTGGTTGTGGAATTCCACAAGGTTTGTCTGGCAGAACCTGTTTTTGCAGAAGCCATGTTGTGTGGCTGCCAGCCTCCCTTCCCTTACTAGAATCACTAGATCTCTCTCTATTATGAGCCTTTCCATTGATTTTCCTGCAATGTATGAAAGGCTAATTGGTCTGTAATTCCACATGTCCCTTCTACTACCTTTTTTTAAAATTGGGACCACTGATGCCACCTTCCAATCCTCTGGAACTTCACCTGTTCACCTGTTCTCCACGAGGCCTCAAAATTGGAGGCCAGCGGGCATGAGAGAACCCCTGCCAACTCTTAAAGTACTCTCGGGTGTATCTCATCAGGGCCTGGTGCCTTTGAAATGTCCAATGCCCTGTGGAGCCCCTCAACATCTAGGGGGTGACTCTAAGCTGTGCCTCTAAGTCCCCAGCCTCCTCTAATCTCCTATTCAGATCTTCCCCCATCCTGCTTTGGGGAGAACACAGAGGCAAAATAGTCATTTAGCATCTGTTCCCTCGTATCGGTCACTGGATCTCCATTCTCCTTATTTAGCAGTCCCACTACTTGTCTCCCCTTCTTCTTCCTATTTACATGCCGAAAGAAGCCCTTTTTGTTGCTCTTGATATTCTTGGCAAGTCTCAGCTCTTAGCCTTAGGATTTGAAGAATCCTTCTGCAATGGGCCTTCTCCTCCCAGTATACCCTTTTGTCTATTTGCCCCAGTACCCATTTCCTACGGAGGTTCCTCTTTCATCTAAGCCCTCTAATCTCCTCCTTTCGCATCCATGGTGCTCTCCTTTGGCTCTCCACCTTACTAACTGGAGGTATCATTAAGGCTTGCAACTCCAAACCCTCCCTTTTGAGTGCCATCCACCCCTCCTCAACTTGCTTGCCTTCCAGTAACCTATCCCAGGAGACTTTCCCCAGCCCTCTTGAAGTCCCAGCTTGTAGTGCTCGACCTGCTGCACGTCCCCATTCCCCTGATCTCATAGAAAGGATGGAGTGATCACTCACATCCAGAGCTCCCCTAAACTGTACTTCATCTATCAGCTCCTCTCTATTGGTCAAGACCAAGTCAAGGATGTTCCCTCCCACCCTCATAGCCTCTCGGACCCTGTGTGTGAAAAACCCTCCCTCTAGAGCTGCTAGGAAGCGACATGACCTGGCTGTCACCACTGAGAGAGTCTCCCAACTAATCTCTGAGAGATTGAAATCTCCCATAATTACTGTGTCTGTTCCTCAAGATATCCTTAGAATCTGACCTGTCATGACATAGTCCAGGGTCTCAAGTTGACCCGGAGGGCCATAAAATACCCCCACTGTCAAGTCTAGTTCCCTGTCAAAACCCCTATGTTTTACCCAGACTGCCTCTCCCAAATCCCCATCTGTGCTGCATTCTATCTCACTGCACTATGTCCCTTCCCTGAGGTATAAAGCCATGCACACACTCACTTTCCCTTCCTGTCCTTTCTAAAAAGGTTATACACCTATATGTTAACATTCCAGTCTTTCCTTTTATCCCACCAAGTTTCTGTGATCCCCAACAGGTCATACCCTCCTATTCCCAGCAGAGCTTCAAGCTCTTCCTGCTTGTTACACATGCTCCTAACATTAGTGTACATGCACCTCAACTCCTTCCCCCCGCTTCCTTTCTTTGGAGTCCCCAGCCTCCTCCTTCCTCCCATCCTCCTGATACCTGACCTCTCTCAGTAGGAGTCCTTCCAATCCCTGCAGTACCCCTAAAACCCTGCTCTCAGAGCCCTGATCCTCTCCCCACACTTGTCCAGTGCAGACACAAATCTGGGGGGCCTGAACAACCCTACCCCCCCCACCCTGCGGCTCAGTTAAAGTCTTCCGGAAGAAGCTTGCTGAAGCATCTCCAGAAAACCTTTTCCCCATCCTCTCAAGGTGCAATCTTCATAACTTACTTGCAGGATCAGCTTGATTACTCAAAGTCTGTCCATTCCAAATCTGCCTTTCCATTCCCCAAGTGAAATAGCTCTAACACATCTTCCTGGTGGTCCTTGCTTTTGTGCTCAGACCCTGCCCAAGGCCAGGTGTGTGGAGAGCTGCTGCCCGGGATTCTACAAAGTGGTTCAAGAAGGAAAGCTTGCTTGCTGCTATGACTGCGCTCCCTGCCCAGAAGGGACCATCTCCACTCTGGAAGGTGGGTGAGTAAGGAGGAACTTCCAGCACCTGGGGAGGAAGGAGCAATCCTCCAAAGAACTGGGCAGTCTGGGACATCTTGCTAAGGAATGATGCAGCTTGCAGAGAACCCTGCTCATTCTAGAAAACTGCCGTTCCTGTTCTCCAGTTCTCCAGCTGGCAACAGCACACATCCCAAGCTCCCCTGTGGCATGCTGGGCCTCCCATAGTCCCTTGACCAGCAACGCATCAGCAGCCCTGTTTGCTACTGATTCACTGCACAAGGGGAGTCTTGTTTGCCTCAGCTGGCTCCTGGTGGATGTTTCCCCACTCCCTGCTCCAGTTCCACCCCTTGCCTGATTTAAAACTGCCTGTTCATTCTGTATCTCCATAACACATTTCTTTCTCTTGCTGTGACCTGCTCAACACCTTAAGACCTTTTGTGAGGGGTGTCTCCTAACTCCCTCCACTTGTGCTGCACAGACACCCACAGCAGTCTCCCCTGTTCCCCCAAGGGGCAATGCCCTGCATTGTGGAAGGCAAACTCTGTTGAGCAAGTGCAGCTTTGGCAACCTCTGGTTGCCACCATTGGGATCTTCTCATGGATGTTTCTGGGTGGGATGCAGTATCGAAAAACCTGCTCCTGGCAAGTGAGGTGTTCTCTGAGGGCAGGGAGCAGAACACTGTGAAAGGGGAGGCATGGTGATCCTAAGAGTTGAAGGGATCATTATATGTCATCATTGCCATATGTCAGAATGGGATGGGGTAACTTCATTTGCCGCAATATCAAGCTCATGGACCCCATGGTCCTCTGGGCCCTGCCACCTCTCCTGTGATTTTCTGAACATAACACTTCAGCCACATGGCAGGGTGCCCAAAGGCAAGCCTCTGTCCAGGGATGTCCCTTGGAGCTCACCTCTCAGACATCATACAGATGGGAAGAATAGAAGGTCTGCAAGAGACATAGCCAGAGAAGTGAGAGTGCTTCAGCCTGCATGCCCAGATGTGGTTGTAAATGAAATTGGCTATGAGAAGGGGGAATAGTCAAGAGGAAGATGAGTTAACCAGACCTCATAAGGAGTCTAGGAAGGCTTTGACCCATGGATTTTCCATACCCAACTTTGAATTGTAGACCCAGGAATTAGTGAGTCCGGGTTGCTGGCATGGCAGAATGAGGAAGCCCAGAAACTTAGACTGGGCCTGCAGGAAAGCAGTGTCATCTCCCTGGGTTACCTTCTCAAAATCCTTGACTAAAAATAAAGAACAGAGATTGCTAAGGTTGAAAGGGACACATTTCTTTTTCTCTTTCCAGATGCTGACCATTGCGCCATGTGCCCAGATGATCAGCATCCAAACAAGAACCAAACTCAATGTACCCCCAAGGGGATCACCTTCCTGTTCTATGAAGGAGCTCTTGGGATCTCCCTTGCTTCCGTGGCCGTCATACTCTCCCTATTCACTGGACTTGTGTTAGGAATCTTCATTAAATTCCGAGACACCCCAGTGGTCAAAGCCAACAACCGTGACCTCTCCTACATTCTTCTGGTCACCCTCCTGCTTTCCTTCTCCTCCTCCTTCCTCTTCATTGGCCAGCCCAGCAAGGTCACCTGCCTCCTGCGACAAACAGCCTTCAGCATCATATTCTCAGTTGCTGTCTCTTCTCTCCTAGCCAAAACAATCACAGTGGGCTTGGCCTTCTTGGTCATCAAGCCAGGCAACAGGGCCAGAAAGTGGTTGGGGAAGCCTTTGGCCAACTTCATTGTCATTGTCTATTCCAGCATCCAGGTTGTCATCTGCTGCATCTGGCTGGGCACCTCTCCTCCCTTTCCTGACTCGGACATGTACTCCCAGCCTGGACACATCATCCTGCAGTGCAATGAAGGCTCTGTGTCCATTTTCTACACTGCCCTTGGCTACATGGGCTTCTTGGCTGCTGTCTGCTTCATGGTGGCTTTCTTGGCCAGGAAGCTGCCAGGAGCCTTCAACGAGGCCAAACTGATCACCTTCAGCATGTTGGTCTTCTGCAGTGTCTGGGTGTCCTTTGTGCCCTCCTACCTGAGCACCAAAGGGAAGTACATGGTGGCCGTGCAGGTCTTCTCCATCTTGGCCTCCAGTGCTGGCTTACTGGGCTGCATCTTTCTTCCCAAGTGCTACATCATTGTCTTGAGGCCTGCTTTGAATAAGAAGGAACATCTCATTAGGAAAACAAAAGATGGCATCTTGAGATAGGAAGGAAATGGGCGAGGGGGAGGAGCTGCCCTCACCACAATCTGAATTTTTAGCATTTGATCAAATCCAGGCAAAAACTGGAATAGTCCGATAGGCTGCTTTTAGTTCTAGGAACAGGAGTAAGAGCCCAGGAATACATGCATGCATTTCCCTTCTTCTGATGTCAACATATCACTCTTCAACAAGTTTTCTGACCTTTCTCAGGTAAGGACAAAGGGGTGCAGTATAAGAACCAATTAACTCCTTTTCCAAAGTGTCTCCAATGCTTGAATCAGGACTATTGTGGACAGTGTTTGAGTTTCCAGGTTTTTGGATTGCCACATCCAAATTTCCTCATCACAAGTACCACTGCCGGATAATCTCTGAGCGGTGGTTTGTGTTGGATAAAAACCACATGATCTCATTGTGGCTGAAGAACGATGGTACAGCATGCTTTTCACCGCTTTTGAAAAATTGAGCAAGGTTGGGACACAATATTACCTGCTCTGATTCCATCGCAGTGGGGGTTTGAACTGGCTTTGTCTTTCTTTCTAAACAAATGCTCTTTCTGCTTGCTAAGCTTCTTGTGGGCCTCTCAGGTGCCTGTTTGCTGGCACCACATGTCAGACCACTGCAAAATATTTTGAACTTCTCAAGTGATCCTGAAGAAAGTGCCTCCTTTGGAGCTTTACTCCAGCAGTAATGTGACTGCACACACATGTCAGCAAAGCAGGGTTACGTGGCACACAACTCAAACTACTCAGTTTTCTAACTTCTCTACTGCTGATTAAATGTACAATTTCCCCTCCCTTTGCTCTGACTTCACGGAAGATCCTGCATCTGGACAAAGCAAAAGGAGCAGTTATTGGCCAATCTTTTTTTGAATGTACCCTTTTTTCATGTAATCACAGTACAGTTGTTGCCAGTCACATCACCCCATATGTAGTTGGCTAGAGAAAGGCCCCAAACCTAGTTGCACAGAGGGAAACCACATAGTTTAAAAAAAAAAAAAAAAAAAACACCACACACACAGCCAGATTGAATTTCATGCCTCAGAAGGGAGGGTGGATAAGAATAAAATGAACTTTTTGTAATCCTCAGCTAACAACTTAGCCTGACCTCAAATTCAATAACCAAAGGGACAGTGGAAACCAGTTATAGCCACCATGAAAGTTGCAGGTGTGCAGGGAGTAAGAACATGGCATGCCTGCGTGAATCTCGAGCAGATAAGAAAGACTTGGGAAATATCCAGTCCTTGACAGAAGAAAGGACTGTCTGAAGCTAACAGCAGGGGTGTGCTTACATTGATGCCTGTTACATGACCTGATGGTTTAGGTAAGGTATAACACACATGTACTGGAATGCAACTTTCAAGACTCTTGATTTCAGAAAGTTTAATCCCCCCATCTACGTTTATTCTAGAGTAAAAAGGTGAAGTTTTCCCCTTGACATTAAGTTCAGTCATGTCTAACTCTAGGGGGTGGTGCTCATCTCCATTTCCTAGCCGAGGAAGCCAGCATTTGTCCACAGACAGTCTCCGTGGTCATGTGGCCTGCATGACTAAACACCAAAATGGTGCTGTTACCTTCCCACCAAAGTGGTACCTTTTTATCTATTTGCATTTGCGTGCCTTTGAACTGCAAGGTTGGCAGGAGCTTGGACAGAGCAATGGGAACTCACCCCGTTGTGCAGTTTCGAACCAGTGACCTTTCCATCAACTAGTCCAGCACCGTAGCGGTTTAAACTGCTGCGCCACCTGCATACCTCAATTCTAAAGTACACTAGAATAAAACTGGTTTTGGCTCTAATTCTCATCTCAGAATCATTTGGCTTGGGTCTGGGGCCCACATGGGTTCACACTTGCTGTTGCCCAACTGAATCTGGCAACACTGTGACACTGGAATCCAAAATTAGTCCCTGTAGAACAGGGGTCTCAAACTCAACTTACCTGGGGGCAGTCTGGGTGGGGCTGGGCTGCATCAAGTATTCCACCACCGCAGTGGTGGTGGGCCGCTCATCCCACGTTGCTCCCGGAGGCCGTGCCGGGCCCCACTGGTGCTTTGAAGGCCGCAGGGCCCCTCCCCCATGCCCCGCCCATCCCGGCAATTGGCCCGCGGGTTGCGAGTTTGAGACCCCTGCTGTAGAAGTTGAAGCTTCCTTGCTGGTTTGGAGCTGCAAAATGTCTGTGGCAAACGATTACCAACAGGAAGCTGCCTTATCTCATTATGCAAGTATTACACAGGAACTGGTCAGAATGAAGAAGATTGTGAAACAGAGTGCCCTCTCTGCTTTGGGGGTAGGACTTCTGTATGGTGACTGGGGGACAGCTTTATGGCTCTCTGATGATTCACTTCTCTTCCTGTACTCAGGATGACAAGGAGCATGTCCATTCATTGTTTGGAAGGCACAGCACACTTGCCTACATCCTTGCAGTGGAGCTCTCTGTGGAGCAGATTCCACCATTGGAGTGCTACCACTGCACCGACCCTTCCCCTGGTTGCCTCTCTTCTAGCCTAATTAAAGCGAGTTCCCAGAGAAGGACCTCAGCAGATGATCTTAGGGTACAGGCAGGTGCATACAGGAAGAGATCCTTCAGTTATCCAGGCCTTAAATGTTCAGTGATTTGTGTGTATTCAGAATCCATTTGTTAACAGTAACATCAAGAGCAGTGCGGAACCTCTGGCCCACAAGACTTTCCTAGAATATTCCTGGAGCTCTTTCCTAGTTTTCTCTGTCCAGGAGATTCCATGGTCAGCCTGATACTGAAAATCACAGTTTGGGACTTGGCCAGTGATGTATGGAACCTGTTGAATCATTTTTGAGGCCGTGTACATTTCAGATGGTGTGTGATACATGAAGTCCCATGGACTTGCTCATGTACTCATTCTCCAAGCAGGGTTGGGATGGGCTCTCTTATAATCTGTCCCTTCAAGTGTTTCTGAGCTTCCTCTTATGCTTGGCCCAGTCATCCAAAGCAAGCCAAGCTGCGAGGAAGACTGTGAACACTCACAGAGGCCCAGCCATGGAAGCAGCACTCTCCTTCTGCATCAGGTGTGGCTGCTCTGTGCTTCACTTGGCAGAAGGGACTGGTCTGAGGTTCCTTTCCTGGGAGCCCCTCCTGGCCAGCCATTCCTGGTCTAGGTACCAAAACAGGGGCAGTGGCTACTGTTGGAAATGGACTGTTCCTGGGACTGGATTCCTAGTGAGCACCCCATTGTCTAAGGGTGGTCCCTCAGGTCCCAGGTTACAGTCCCCTGCAAAGTGTGTGGAATCCCAGAGGCCAAACCCACTGAGTTTGATAGATATATAATCCCAGACAATTCCTCTCCATCCCTTGTGGTGGAGTGTACCTGACTGCGCTGATTGCTGGTGCCCACAGTACAATGCAGACCAGCAGGAGGGGTGGAATGCTGCCAAAAGTCAGCTCTCATATGGAGCCATCCCAACTGTGCTATCTATTGTTGATAACAGAAGGTGACCTCAGACTGTGACCTGCTCAAACCAGCAGGCTAAACATGAGTCAGCAGTATGACGTGAGGGTTAAGAGGGTGAATGCCACTCCTGGATGTACAGCCAGAGCTCTGGTTTTCAGATTGAGAGTGGTGCTGGTGCCATTTTATGAGACTCTCATGCACCCACAACTGGAGAACTGTGTCCAGTTCTGGCCTCCACATTACAGGAGAGACATTGCAAGGCTCGAATCAGTTCAGCTCAGGATCACAAGGATGGCAGCCAGATTGTGAGGGATGCCATAAAAGATGAAATTGCGGGAATGGGACTTAGTTTGGAGAAGAGGAGACTCTGAGGGGATCTCATGGTGACTTAAATGTATGTGAAGGAGTGTCAGATGATAGAGGGACATGATCAGGGGTCGGCAACCCACGGCTCTGAAGCCGCACGTGGCTCTTGAATCCTTCTGCTGCGGCTCCGTTGCTCAAAACACGCCCTGGCACATCCGCCGATCTGTGACAGGCACTGATTTACTGAGCTTTTCATGATTTACTGATCTTTTTCCCCCAGTACACCAACCATGGATAAATCAAAGAAAATAAAAGTTTCTGAAGAAAACTGAATGTTTAATGGTACGTGGGTAGATTCATTCGCTTTTATTGATGACAAACTTATGGGGTTTGCTGTTTAATGCATGCAGCCCTTTAGCACTGACTTTGACTCTGCAGGAAGCTGTTCTCCTATTCAAAATGTATGAAAGGAGTCCTACTAGTTTATAATGTAAGATGACATTATAAACTGTGCCTTACTGATTGCCATGTCAATTCTCTGTAATTCCCGGCATTTATCCTGTTATTTTGCCATGTCCCCTGTGAGGCTTCTCATGTTGCTTTTGCCCACGAATACATTATCTCTTGGTTTGTAGCTATTCTTCACTCATCATCACCCCTGTTCCTGCGCACATGACTAGGTGCCTATAAAACACTTGCACTCAGGCACAAAAGGGAAGGCACAAAAAGGCCTCTCCCTCCCCTGAGAGCTTCGAAGATGCTTCAGAGCGTCTTCAGGGTAGATATCTGGGAAAGCTTCCAAAACTGTCAGAACAACATGACCGTGGAACCAAAAACAATACAGTTTATATAATAACAATGATCATGATCATTATTTCATTTTTTATTTTAATTAATAAGCATAATTAAACAATGCAACAATTCCAGTGCTACCTCCACCAACAAATCAAGTCACTTTTTGTAAAATCATTTATTCATTCAAGTTGACCCACTTCCTTTCCATAACTGCACTTACTCTTGTGATGGTTCAACCCTAACCCCTTTCCTTTTATTAAAACATATGTATTTATTTATAAAATTTGTATGCTACAATTACTAACATCTCTGGATGGCTAACAGCATAAATAAATTGATGACCCACTCTGGCTGCAATTAATAAAACACAATACTACAATTGAATATTAAAACTTATTAAAATATTGATTAAATAAAAAGGTCTTGACCTGGTGCCGAAAAACATATAATGACTGCACCAGGCGGACCTCTCTGGGGAGCGTATTC